GGGGCGCGGCGGGGCGGGGCCCAGGTGACTCCGCTGAAGCCCACCTGCTCCTGCATCGCTACGCGCCCTACTCTGAGCCCAGGGCTGGTCCCCGGGGCGGCTCGGTGGTTGGAACACGCTAGGATGTCCGGGAACCCGTTCCAGGCCCAGGCACGCTCAGACCTTATCTTGCTCTTTTTTTTCCCCTGCGTTTCACACTCTGAAATCCTGGCGTTTTGAAATTTTCTTGTGTGTTGGTTGTCTTTCCCCTCTGCAATGTAGGCTCCGAGAGGGCAGTACCTGGGCTCTCTTAGTTCACCAACTGCCCCGAATAAATATTTAAATAAATATGAAAACAGGAGTGTCTCAGGAGGGTAATCAGAGCCGGCTTCCTGCCTGCGGTGGCCCTGCGCGGAGGCCTGCTGGAGGCAGGGGCATCCAGGAGAGCGCTCAGGAGATGAGCTCCGAGAAAGGGCGGAGGGTTGTGCAGATCCCAGAGCGGTCAACCAGCGAGCGAGTGGGGACTTCTCTTACCCTTTGTTTCTTTTCCTTAGGCAGCCAAGCCCCCTGTCCTCTCTCTGCCCTCCAGGTTTTATTCCAAGCATGTTTCATGCTGAGCAGGCGAGGCCAAGGTTTGCCATTCGGAAAGATCCGTGGCAGCAGTATGGACAGTGCATCGTGGCCAGCGGGGTCAGTCAGGAGGACGCAGAGCTGCACGGGGCAGGGCATAAATCTGAGGGATATCAGGTCTCCAGCACAGGGCACGGGACTTGGCACAGAGAAGGCAGCCGTTCTGCCCCTGAGACCTAGGTCTCCAGCTCCCGGATCCCCTAGGCCTGTAGCTGATGTGGGTGAAACCCCCTCCCTCCCTCCCTCACTGTCCCTCCCTGCTCCCTGAGGCCACACGTCACCGCTGGCAGCTCTCAAGGACCTCCTGTGTTCTGCCCTGTGAGGCACAGTGGAGAGCAGTGGGCAGACAGCCCCCACACACCCACCCTCCCAGGCCCCTGCCCCAAGGACATCAGGTACCTCTGAGGGACGTCCACACTCCAATGACTGTCTGGACATCAGTGCTGACGGGCTATCTTAGCTCGAGAATTCCTCATGCAGACAGTCAAAGCTGCAGCTGCACCTGCACCACTGCTCAAGGTGCCCCTCAACCCACCCCTGCTTCCTTCCCACCTCTGGTCCAGGTGTTAACCCCAGGGGAGCTCCCTAATTTGCATCCTGAGCACTGAGTTCCAGGACTTGGGACCACGCATCACTGAAACAGGAAGTGCTGGGGCGATGCTGGTGCCCATACCCTTTCCTGAAGTCCTTTCCTTCTAGGGAAGGCGGGGGGCAGCCATCACCCTGCCATGCGACCAGGGAAGTGTCCGCTGTCCTGGGAACAGGGGGGGCTTTGGAGCCCTGAGGAGACCCTGCTATGCCTGAGTGGAAGTGAATCCATTGCTTGGCAGGGGAAGAAGAGAGCCGAACAGAGGAAGAGAAATGGAGGTGACGAGGACTCAGGCCTGGGCTTACTACTTAGCAAGGTCAGAATACGTGGCCTCTTGTGGGGTAAACTAACCTGGTGCTGCTCAGAGAAGACTTCGAACCCCACCCTGCAACAGGCCTGGGCCTATAGCTTGCTCTGACTGCGCGACACTGTGGAAGTAAGGCATTTTAGAGCTGGGCTGGCCCGTTAGATGGCAGGAAGCTGCTCCCCCTCTGCCAGAGCTCTGAACCACCATATTGAGAGTCGCCGTGCCCCACTTGCAAGGCAAACGCAGCCAGCCCCGGCCATGCCAGTCCAAGGCAGTGCTCCCAGGGGAAAGGCTGGCAGAGACCTGTCAGTGGGGGCAAGCTTGCCCTGATGCCGCCTGGTGGGCCACTCTGATGGTGTTTTCAGCCCCCAAACTGGGAGACAGCTTCCTTCGCACCAGTGGGGAAGGGATACATGGAGTCCTTTGGGCCGCTGGGAAAGTGGGGGCGATGAGGCTTCATTCAGGTCAGGTGACTAGCTTCTCACTGCCAAGTTCGACTGTACCGGCAGAGCACAGGGGACTGTGTACTGAAGTTGACAAGACAGCCTCTTCCTCCTCTTAGGTTCTCCTACCTGAGAGTAGAATTCAGCACTGCCCAGAGACATCATGTCAGTCCCGTCCTGCTAATAACTACTGCTGCCTGTGACTGAGAGTGTAGGGCACAGTGTGGCTTTGTCTGGATGCCCGGGGGCTTCCATTCTGGTAGGGAGAAGACAGCCATGCAGGAGATGCCCCTCCAGTCCCTCTTTCTGCTTTGCCAGTGTCCATGATTCACATATGGTGGGACTGTCAACTTCTACTGTGCCAAACTGAGGAGGCAATCAGCTCACTTTACAGATGAAGAGACAGGCTGGAGGCTGAACACCACAGCTGCAGAGGACCAAAGGTTCATCTGGGTCCTGGCAAGGATTCTGCTTCATCTGCCAGAGCCCCACAAGGGGCCTACAACCACCGCCTGGAGGGGACAGCTCAGCGAGGTGAGACACACTCTAAGCTCTGGGTCTTCACTTAGGGATGGAGGTGGGGACACTTCAAGAGCTACTGGCCACCTTGTCGACTCCAGAGCCACACTGCTGCCAAGAGCCTCCTGGGTCCATGAGCACTGGATTGTGCTGCGAGGATCGGAAACCCCGAATACAAAGGGTCAAGCAGTGGCTTATTCCCCTCAGGTTGCAGAGTCAACAGTTGCTGTCCTCGCCTGCTTACCACAGCAGCTGGGCCGCGGGAGACCTGCCGCAAAGGAGAGGATCCACCGGTCAGAAAACTCACCTGGGGACAGAAAGAGCTGGGGTGTGGCTCAGGGGTAGAGTGCGGACTGAGCCTGCACAAGGTGCAGGGCCACACCAGAGCCCTGTTACCCGTGTCACACCTACTTCCACAAAAGTCCCATGTTCCCTGCGGGAGGGCCATGTAGAACACCCCGTCCCCAGGGACAAGATCAGCTGCTCTGGAGAAATTGAGGGAGCCAGGAGGGAGACCGCAGCAGGGGGCACAAGAGGTGGGAACCCATGTCCTTCGCATTCACACCCCGTCTCGGGGAGGTGGAAGGCACTCACCCACTTTACCGGTGCTCTTGACTTCACTCATCAGCCCAAACTGGCACGGCCGGGGCAGAGGAGCCAGGATGCGGCCCAGCGCATTCTGCCTTCAAAAGCCAGGCTCTGTCCACTGCACTGAACTGGAAGAAGTTAATCAAGAAACTGGAGGAATCACCAAGAGGTATTTGATGCTGGGGAGTCTGCAGTGAGAGAACCCAGCCGGCAGCCCCACAGGGCGGATGATCATGTGCGACCCAGCATGTAAGAAAAGGCACTAACGCAGAAGACAGACACCAAAAACCACGCCAGGGCAGGGTCGGGGTGAGTGGGAACCAGCTGGGAAGAAACAGAGGCCACACAGTTAGGGACCATTACGAAATCTACCAGCTCAGGGAGGGCACACATGCCGCACATACTGTGTGTCACACCAGGCTGCTGCACACAGCTGTGGAGTTTGTGCCCTGCTTGCGCATGGGCCAAGGAGGCTGGTAGAGTGCGAGTCGCTCCCATACTCCTCTTGCCAAGCCATGCACCTCGCGTGGGGCTGGCACCACTCAGGAGAAGCTCCAAAACCACCACCTGCCTGTGGATCTGAGTGCCCACCAGCCGTGCCCATCGGGGACCATCTGCCTGCCAGGGCTCCTTTCACTTCCCTACTTTTCCCACTCCCTGCTCCTCAGTGCCTCCTCCCCCAGCCCCAGTTGGCCTGCCTAACTGCCCTGAGGCTCAGCCGGTGGCTCCTCCTCCAAGGAGCCTGCCCTTCCCCAGAAGTGCGCCCCAAACATCCTTCTCCTTCACTCTAAGCCCTACAGATGTTGGCTCAGGGCAGCCTCATGCTCCCCGCTCCCAAGCCCAGGCTCAAGAGAGAGCAGAGACAGCCACAGAAAGGGTTTGCTCTTTGGAATGCTACAAGCCTGGCTTTAACTCTTGCCTTTATCCTTTACTAGCACTTAGCTTCACCAGCCTTGACATCCTCAAGTGTGACATGGAAGCCACTGCCCGGGGAGGTTTCAAGGGTTCACTGAGCGGTTGTGTGCGACACAGTGCCGGGGATAGCACCAGACACTGGTCGGTGCTCGGTTACTGTTTGCATCTTATCTGAATTCAGCCCAGCACAAAAGCATGGCTGAAGTATCTGCCAGCTGCCAAGCATGGCCAGGGACAGAGGAAACATGTCCCTGATATGCTAGAGCCAATTTTCCCCTCTCTGACCCCCTGGAAAGGAGTGGATGCTGTGTGCTGCCCACTCTCCCTTTAGGACCAAGTACTTGTCCTCACCTCTCTCCACAACTGAGAAAGCTGATAGCTGATACCTTGCTGCTGGGCACCTCCCAGGCCATTCCTCATCTCTCATGTGCCTCCATGGGGCAGCCCACATCAGATGACTGGTTGGTGTCGGCCCTGGTGCTGCCAATCAGCAGAGAATTCTTCGGCTCACTTTGGATGAACATAATTAATTGGCAAAGAGCAGCTCTGCTAGCAATCCAGATGTCACCAGATGATACCAGGTAATACTGGATGTCAACAGTCGACACAGCCAGCTGCTGGTCCCTGCTGCTGCCGGCCATCATCACCCAACCTCTGCTGTGCCAGACACAGTAGGATGACCATACTGGGTGTTGGTGGTGCAAGCTTGTGCTGGGCTCCATAGAGAGTTCATTGCTCTTCGTTTGGAAATGACTACTCTGTCTACACTATTTGGGATAAAAATCCGAAGTAAATTTATAGGACT